CCGCCGTCAGCTCATCGCTCTTCTTGGTGGGAGTGTCATTGTCTTCATCAGTACCATCGTCAGAGCGCTTCTTCTTCTTGGTGCTTTTACTACCGACTTGCCCTGTAGGTCTATTAAAATATACTCCTACCACCCTTTCCTGCTGACTGTTCGTTCCGTTCGCGCTTGTCAATAATGAGGTCTTGTTTGGCCACTTGGAAGGACTCCGAAGGAGGGAGTGCTGCTCGCATTGAAAGTTCTTTTTTTGCTGCAGACATGAGTCGGTCATAGTGGGCTTTGGAAAAGAGTGCATGCTGTGAAGTGCTTCAGAAATGAGCTCGAGAAATTGAAAGGGATGTCGATATCTTCGACAAGGTCGTATGGCCTGACGACTGGGCCAGGGTTAAGGCCAAGATCTTGAGACGTGTGAGAAGCTGAACTGAATAGCCACGCACCTGGTTCCTCTTCCTTATTGTCACTGTCGGAATCGGAGTCCTCTCCATCTCAACATCACTAAGCTTGCCCTTCCTGCGCTGTTTTGTTGTATCTTCAATGATTTCGAGGTCTGGAGAATTTATAATTAGACGCGCTAGCGGGAAGAGATTGAGATGGAGTCAGGGTCTGGAGTGGCTTTCAGTTTCTTGGGAGGCCACATGGCGTTTGGGGGCATCTGGGTCTTGTGCAGCTCGTTTTCATTGCTTCAAACCCATCGCAGGTGGTGGTCAAGAGAGGAAGACGCGACGGGTAACTCTGTGTCACGTCACAAGCGATGAATCGACGCGTCTCGGACCGATTTATGGACGAATAATCAGCTTGGTGAGTCGATGAAGCATTCAATTCTAAGTGCTTTTTTGTGTTTGAAACATGCAGAATATGGTTCTTGTGCAATAATTGACGCACCCAGGCATCAGAATTTAGATGCATCGATATCCCAGTCATGTCTCCCCGCCATTCGCTACACCACAACCAGCCTGGATCCAAACCCGGCGCAACACCCTATCGAGCGGCCGGACAGCTCTATTGTCCTGGCCACCGCGTCTTAGCAGTTAGTGTGCTTGTAGCGGTATATAAATGCAGATAAAAAAAAAAAAAAAAAAAATCCCAGTCATGTGACAGGTAACATTTAAAGCCCATAAATTCGGCCGTGAAAAAGGTACCAAAATCATGCTTCTACGTCTAGTCGTTTGTTTGGAAACAATTCAATTTATTTTCCTTGTGGAAGAGGTGCGATCACGTCCGATCCAACTCTTCTGCAAACAACCATAATATTAGGCTGCTAGTAAGCTTCATCTTTGCCTATCCCGGGCATATGGTACCTCATGCCTCGTCGGACGCTCTCACACGACCTACCCTCTTCTACGAGCAACGGTTTCTCATCAATCTCATCAGTGTCGCATGACAGTACAGCATATATTTCTCAATTAGCATTTCATTTTAATATACTCAGCCGCAATGCGCTCATATTGCTTGTGTGCTTTGCGGCACATCCACCCGTTAGTTACAGCTGCCCAATCCTTTGCGGTCTTGCAGAGCAAGCTGCGATCGACGCTTTTCGACTGTAACTGAGAAAGCCGCCCTTGATACCAGCTTTCATTGGAAGATGTCCAATGACGACTTTGTGCCTTTGCCCATGTCCAGGGGGTCGGCCACCACGATCGTCGTTGTGTGCAATTGTTCTCTGTGACTGCGTTAGACGGCGGCACTCAATGTGGATCAGTTCTCACCAATTTCTTCGGTGAACATCCCACAGATCACATAGATCTCCATTTCGGTGAAGTGGCGCACGGAGAAAACCAGGCCGCCAGGAGCTTCCAACAACTGCACCGCTTCGGGGGGAGGGTTCTCGCTCAGGGCATGAGTAATGGTGTGCCACGGAACTAACTCCCGAGCAAGTCGTCCAACGATACCACCGATTTCAATAGCATGTGCCACTCGGTCTTTGAGAAATTTGCTCCGCAAATCCACGTACGCATCGTAGTCGCTAAGATCTGGGAGAGAGCTCAACTCTCTGAGTACATGCCTAGGGGCACAAGGAAGTTTTGTGTGTCGCAGGGGAGAGAGTGATGTGTTACTTGAGCTGAGACGACAGAGGCGAAATGGGATCCCTTGCAGCGCGAGTTGTTCGGCTGAGGCAGTCACGGAAGATCCCCAACTTCCGCGGGATATTTCGAACACTGTCGCAGCGTGAGGAGTAATGAGAATGTCGCAATCTTCGGTTGACAACAATTTTTTGCGGCTTCCGACAAGATAGTATGTGTAGTTGGTCATCTCCCAATTGTTCTCCCACTTCAGATGCGGGTTTGTTAGCACCATTGGCGCGGCGCAAAGATCCGGGGGGAAATTCCAGCTGAGGTGAGTGAAATCAATCAGCATTCGCTTATCGTTATTGACGCCTTGATCGAGAGCTTGAATCAATTCCAGCACTTCATTCAGTTGAAGCCCCTCAAAGGTCTGGAGCTTCTGGTCTAACAAGCCACTGAGGATGCGGCTTGACCGATCGACATTCAAATTTGGAGGGAAGTCGAGAACTTTACTGGTGGACGCGGTTAGCTGAATCCCTAGCCTTTGATAGAGGACATCGACGAAGGATGAGGGGACACAAGCAACCTGAGCCGCTATGACTGCTGTTTCTGACACAGATTCCGCCACAACTGACGGGTTAAACAATGGGAAGTTTCCTTGTTCATAGCTTGCCACAGAGTGTCGCCTTTCAGAGTTAGCAACTCCACTCTGTACAGAATCCGAGCCATCAGCCGACAATGGTATGGGTGAGTCATGGGAACCCAACGACGGAGTGACCAATGTAGGTTCAGGCTCGGGACCCGTTTCCTCTCCATCCACTTGCATTTGTTGCTCCAAGAGGGAATCATTGATATCTGCGTTGATGGGCTCCGAAGTATCATCGAAATCCATTCGTTCTTCCTCGTCGAAATCATCAAAAGCACTGTTGCTATCATCCTGCTCGGAGGGACAGGCAGCTATATCCCATCTTCGACAAAGGTCCCATTCATCCCGGAAGGGGTCGTAGTGACGTTCGCTTGGGCAAAACTTTTCCCATAACGATGAGTAGCTTGCGGGGAGCTCAGCTACGCGGACGAGCTCATCGTTCTGTCTCCGCCAAGAGAAAACGCGACTGTCTTGTGCAGGTAGATGCATGGTCCCTGTCGCGTTCACCAAGAGACGAGCTGCTTCCGCACGTGCTAAGCGGGCCGCACGGTCTGCACTAGTTTCTGATTGTTCCTTTCCCGCATTAACTGAGGCACGGCGTCGCATGAATTGGCTATGAGTCTCCGCTTGTTTCCAATGTGCAAGTATACTTTCATCCCTTGCTTGAACTGGTGGAACCAATCTACTGTTCGTCGGCATGAACGAGCTAGTATACTCCCAGGTTGAAAAGGGCATGTACGTTGAGGTTTGCGACAGGAACTGAATTTCGTCAGAGCCAGGTCGAAAATCCGAGGAAGCCAGTGCATAAGAGGGAAGTATTGACTTCTCCACGGGATGACGGCAGAGCTCTCCGTAGCTCAAACAAAATGGAATGGAGAGTCGATATTTTGCAACAATCTCTATTAGGCTGGCAAGAAAGGCTTGCTGAGGCAGATCCATCACTACGGTTAAATCTATAACCGCTCCTTGTCGAGGTTGGGACCAGTTCGATATATTTCGAGAGCCGATGATGTCTTGCAGGCGAGTCAGGGGAATGCCGGTTGCGGATTCCAAGTGTTGATACAAATGTTGGAAATACGAGTCCCGGCTTCGGAAGGTACTATTGACACGATGGAGGAGGAGTAATAGCGAAAGGGAGGCAGCTTTGACGAGAAAAGCCGCTCGTGATAAATGCAGCGCGTTCATAGCATCTGGTTTCGTGCTATGACCCTGCATGTAACCATAATCACGAGGAGAAGGCCCGGAATCGATCGGGACTGGAACAGGTGCAGGTCGGTTTAAGAGCGAGTCACGTAGAGTTGTCTCTAAGCGAATAATATTTTCCTCGAGACACGTCCATTCTTCGATAAATTTCTGCTCGATTCGAAAAGGCGGATGATAGCTGTCCAGGCTTACTAAATGCGGTTCTGGTCTTCTGTGGACAAGGCATGATGGCACACGGATGGTGGCAAAAGCCTTATCGAAAGCTGGATTGCTGAGTATGAAACTTGACACTAGCATGGTGTGAGGTAGGCGAGGCATTTTCAGGTCGAGCGAGTCGCAAAATGAATGTCGCGGAGAGGGCGCTATATCGCTGGTGAGAGACTCGATTGTCCACATCCGATCACTGAATCCAACACGGCGGAGGTCTTGGGAGGTGGTCCCAACAACACCGTATAGACCATTCGCGCCACTTTTGAAATGTCCCATGATGAGGCCGTCCTCTTTCTGGCAGAGCCGTAAGGAAACATAGCGGGGAAGGGAGGGGGGTACTTGCTGGCAAACCATCCACTATCACCGGTTTGCGGGGTGCGGTGCTCATTCTTTGTGGACGTGGGTGGTGTCGAATCGGTATAGGTGATTGCAATGGGAGTTCGACATCGTGGTAGGGATGCGCCATATCTGCTGAATGGCTACTGCGTCAGCTTGAAGGAGAAGAAGTATTGCCCGCACATGTAGCTGGAAAGTGACGCGGAAAAGTTCACTGGCGGATAACAAGATCAACACGAAATAAGGACGTATGGATTGACGAAGATACTGCAGGACAAAGAAGTGTCGTCCTGGGCACTTGGACAGGTCGAAAGGATCAACCACAACGTCGCAGTCACTGATCCAGTCACGGATCACCTGATCGCAAAACCAGAATGAAAAATAAGCGGGCGCACGGCGGTACAAACAGAACGAACGAAAACAGAGGGCTGATAATTTTGTACATCAGGAAACCTGCACGCGAATGTAGCCTCCATAATACCCCGTAATACCATAGGCAGACTGTGTGGTAACTTGACATGACAAATCAGATCAGTCCTATGCTGTCCTGCCAGTGACTCCTACTTATGCAATCGCTATGGATCTCTCCCCACCTCTCGCTCACTATGCGTCTCTGGTGCATGGCTCGATGGCTTCTCACTGGCACGGAAATCGAAAGACTTGACTTCAGGGTCGCAGTCATCTTGCACTTTACTCCGACCACTACCACGAGTTCTACGACGCCGCCCACCTCGACTACGTTCATGGATGCTGACACGCATGCTGCCTTCGAAGCTGTTTATCACAGCAGCGCTGGCATTAACCCTCTAATCGGCTCTCCCACTGCCCCATCCTCCGATGACCAATACGCCCACTCTCAGTATGGCCTTGCTCAACGTGTCTTCATCCGACGTCACCATCGCGCACTCGCCGCGAACGAACAAGACAGCGAGAACCAGAACGATTTAGAGAAGGACATAGAGTACAAACACGACCTGGAGAACACTCATGACTTGGAGAACAAACACGACTCCGAGTCGGATTTGGAGAACCACAACGATTCGGACCACGCTTCAGTTCATCGAGGCAGTACTCCGCTCGGCGCATTTGACGCTGGTATCGATTCGGAAGACGAGATTCCCCCAGCCGAAAGCCTTATCTCTGGGTGCCTCGGTATCATCTATCCGACTCCTGCTGCCCCTTCATTCGACAGCCCCACCTGCGGTGTTGATGATTCGGGTTCTGGCACTGTTGTGGACAACGATAAGCCTCTGCCCAGTTTGCTGGCATATACTCGGTCAGTCAATTTACGCTCCATTGAACTCAGACTGAAGTACGAGAAACAGCGCAAGCTTCATTTACGAAAACAACCAGTACTCTCGTTCGATTAAATAAAAACCTCATGGCGATGAACAAACAGTCCGACAACAACAACCAGCAACTCCGCCAAGAGACCGAACGTCTCAAGGCGCGTATTCAACTGCTCGAGGAGGAGAAGCAGGGCTTGGTTGACGAGTTAGAGTATTCGCAGCAGGAGGCTGAGGTCAACTTGAAGCTGAAAAGGGACGTGACCAAGGATCAAGCCCGCGCGCAACGGTTTATTTTCGCTCCTGAACTCTTGTAACGTGCACGCAAAATCATCTAAGTAGTACTAAATAATTCGTTCTGTTCGTTCTGTAGTACTCAATACAATTTGTTATTACTCACCCGCTCAGTCTAAGTTGTTGCGAAAAGCAAATATATAAGGCAGGTCATTATGAACTGCTACAGTATACGTGTACATACAGTCATTTAATGTCAGAGGGAAAACTATCTATTCTACTCACAACCGGATTTTATCATCTCTTTGCAAGTCTCGCACCGTTCCCAGAGGAGAGCACTCATCCCCTGACTACGAACAAGGCCCCGTGCCATTGTGATATTCTCCGTCGCCGTTGCGAGCTTGATGGTGGCTTCCTGAATAGATTTCTGGAGTAATTCGCAGGAGAGGTTCGCTTCATGGAGTTTTGCGAGTGTTGCACGTAGCTCCAATGCACAAGCATCCTTATCCTTATGCAACGCGAGGGTCTTTAGCTCCTCTATTTGTGGGTTTTCGCTCGATGTCAGCTAATGGAATGATCAGTAAATTGTCAAACAGTGAATGCTCCGCGCACAGTGGTGTCTTCAAATTCAGACGAGCGTTGGACTAATCTTTCCTGTGCATCGTGTAGATTCTTCTCTGATTGTTGTGCCACATGTTGCAGAACTTGACGATATAGCGTAGCTTCGTGGTGTTTCATAGACACAGCGTTCAGCTCCAATGAGCAAACACTTTTAGCGTGCGGAGAGTATGCAGGAAGAGCTCTGCACTAGCAGGAGTTTCAGGCATAGCGACCACTGTCTTGCCGAACAAGTTGGGAGGAATCTGTGCCCGGCCCAGTGGTTGAGAGACGTGTCGCACGAAATAGGCGTGGAAGAGACGCACCACATGCGCTTTAACGCATTGGTCTTCGGCAGCAGAGTCCCTCATGCTGGGTGTAGTAAGTACGGTGAGATTGGAATGAGCATCGGTGACGGTGAGCGAGCCTGACGGTGGGCCAAGAAGTCGGATGGTGGTTATTGCCGAACCGAAGTTTCGGCTCTATATGTGAAGATGAAAACCAGCCCCCCCAAATTGGGAGTGGCTGTGTTTTGATTACCCTTATTGGGACGGCATCACAAGGATCACATGATGCGTCCAGCAGAGTCACGGTTCGGCTCTCTGCCGCTTGCGGCCTTATCCCCTCTCATGTTAGTCCATACGAGTCACAACTTGTCTTCAAGTTGTAACTTGTCGTTCCGTTTTCAACTTGAAGGTGGACTTGAAGTACTGCGACTCGGAACTTCTGCCTGTCGGTGTTCCATGCCCTTGTTCTCGTACAATCGACAATACCAGCGCGAACCAAGATTTAAATGCCCAGGTCCCCGTTGCCGCTGTACTTTCGACACCAAGACGAAGGTTCTACAACATCTCAATAATCCACGATCATCTTGTGTTGGTTGGTCTCGCGAAGCCACAGCTGCAATTGGTGTTGGTGGGCCTGAGGCAGAGGCTTATATCGCTCGGTTCGAAGAAGCCTTTGGCACCAGCAAGCGCGCGACTTGTTCGGAGACAGCAGCAGTACATCAGCCAACTCAAGAGCCAGATTTGATTCCCAATATTCCACTGGCAACCTCTAGTGCATCTGTACAACCCGCCACAGAGCAGACAGGGCAAGACTACCAGTGCCCTTATGTCGGAGCAGCTCAAACGGCGAATGGTGGAAAGAGTTTCGTTAACTGGGTTGAGGATGATGAATTCAACAGCCTTCGAACGGACAACCTCTTTTATCCCTTCGTCGGGGAGTTGGAGTGGGAATTTTCCGACTTTCTTGCTCATTCCAGTCTCACCATCAAGGAGATCAACGAGTTGCTTGTATTGGTACATTTTTGTTATCCACTCCCAACAACATCTCATTGGCATTTCATTCAGATTCGGCAATATCTAGCACCACATCTTTCGTACAAGACAGCCAAGCAGCTGCGCCAACGCATCGAGCTATTGCCTACCTGCCCGAAGTGGCACTCACGAACAATCACATACCCTGGATATCCGACAAAGAAGCCTATCGTTCTCTTCTACCGAAACTCACTTGAATGCATCCAACTCCTTGTTTGAAATCCGCTGTTCAAGGACAGTCTCGACTTGGTTCCTACGCAAATGTTTTGAGACAATGAGCGGGTCCATGGGGAGTGGATAAATAGTGATAGTGCGTGGAAGATGCAGGTTTGTCGCAGCATCCGGTTAAGGTTTTTTTCTTTGACTGATGTTATGGCAGGAAGCCGTTCCTATTGGCCACACCGTTCTTGGAGTTATCGCCAGCTCTGACAAGACAAACATATCGGTCATGAATGGCGATCGCGTCGCTCACCCATTTTTGCTGTCACTGGCAAACCTACGAAGCGATGTAGCAATGAAAGCCTCAAACCATGCTTTTCTCATGATAGCACTTCTTCCCGTTCCTAAATTTCTCTGCGCAAAAAGTGTGCGGAGCGTAATGGAAAGTCGATTACTCCATCACTGCCTCGATATAATTTGCGAGCCTCTGAAGATGGCAACTCGAGATGAGGCTATCTTATCGAAACACGATGGTTCCCTCATTTATGCGCACACACCGTTGGTCTCCTATATTGTCGACACCCCAGAGGCTACTGATATCGCCTGCATCAAAGCGAAAACTTCGCATTTGACAACTGCATCACATCACACACTCGGCGACAACTTTCGTCATCCAGAAAGGACAGGCGAGAGCACATGGGCAGCTATCTCGTCTATCTCCACAAGAGTATCTCCAAACAGCATTGCTGATAGCCTCCAAAGCTCATCCGCACCGACTGAATGGCGTTCACCTCCCTTTTTGGCGAAACTGGCCTCTCTCAACAAATCCCTCGAAGTTTTTAACACCAGAAGTACTCCACCATGTCCATAAAGCATTTTTCGATCACGACTTCCAGTGGGGGCGCAAGATCATGGGCGACAATGAACTTGATTTCCGCCTCTCGATCATCCCCGTTCTGGTGTGCGACATTTCAAGGAGGGTGTTACTCGTCTAAAGCAACTGGGTGGTCGCGAGCATCGAGAGCTTCAACGCTCTTTCATCTGTATCATTGCGGATGCTGTCCCTCGACAGGTTGTTGTTGCCCTTCGTGCGCTCATGGACTTTAGGTTCATGGCGCAGTCACCTCAAATTACTGAAGCAACCCTCGTCCGCATGGAGCAGTGCCTCGCAACCTTCCATGAACACAAGCAACACATCATTGACTGCGGTGGGCGAGAGCAACCGCATTTCGCCATCCCGAAGCTCGAATTCCTTCATAGCATTGTGCCAAGCATTCGATGGGCGGGGGTTCCTATGCAATACACGGCAGATATTACGGAGAAGGCTCACAGCACCCAGATAAAAGTCCCAGCTCGAACGGAGACCAATCATCGCGATTACGACCCTCAAATTGTTCGCCATCTCGATCGAGCGGAGAAGCTCCGACTTTTTGGGTTATATACTGGAATCAAGTCGGAACAGCTGCAGCTCAAAATGGAGGATGTTGTTGATGATGGCGAAGAACGGGAAGGTGAAGGTGAACCGAGTTCTGAGCTCCAAACTGAAGATGTCGCGGGACCATCTTTGATTGGCGAAGCCTCACGCCCAGTACGAAACTTGTTCAAAGCAGCGGAACTCTATCCACTCCTCTACCCCCAAACTGAAAGTCGGTTCACCATTGCTCCTTCAGCAGCCTTTTTGCTTAATCGAAGACCAACATTACCAAAAGTCTCGGTTGAAGATGTTGGCAACATGTACAAATTGAATGATCTTCGGGCGGCTCTGGGAGATTTCTACTATGGGCAAAACACTACACATAAACCGCTTCTTGGTGGTCGACGTCGGCACCATACTGACTGTGCGCTTCCGTTTACCCACCTTGAAGTCTGGTATTCACTTCGCGTTCAACTCACAGCTCCTCATACCAGCCGACCACTCCCTTCGCAATTATTATTCGCTCAGCCACCTCCCGTCGATTCGATGTGGGAGATAGGACGATATGACCCAGTTCTTTTGTCGAATTCCGTTGATGCTGCTTGGCCATGCAAGGGCTTTCGCGACGGGCTTCAAGGTCGCGTGGCTCATCTAAGGAATAACGGGCCGTCGGCGCCTAATTAGGAAGACAATGGCGAGTGGTCCGGACTGAAGCATTGGCACAACTGAGCTGTTTAGGCTATAGTAGAAGAGTTCATAATATTTAGGCTAAGTAAATATATAACAGTAGTAGCAACAGTAGTAGCTAATTAATCTAAAAGCTCAAACAATCCAAAGTGTACTGGCAGGTGGCTGATAAGGTGGCATTGGTCAATAAGGTGGCATTGGTCAAGATACAGCAGACATGACCCAGAGAGGCCCAAGCAGCACTGGCAGCTTTGGGACTTGGGCATGCCAGTACTAGTGGGAGATGTGGCTACATAGCTGCATACCTGCTTAAGCCACTGCTCGCAACACTGGAGAAGGTTGACCACAAGCCTGAGGGGGTGACTGTCACGGACTCACGACACTGCCAATCCGGACCAGTCGCCATTGTCTTCCTAATTGGGCGCCGACGGCCCGTTATTCCTTAGATCAGCCATTGAACCATCATACTTATTGTTCATCGTCACTTTTACGATTGATGAAATACAGACCATACAGTTGGCCAGATACGGTTATTCATGCGGCCATGCTGGCCGAACAAGGACCATACCGGTGTCAACCCGTTCTTACTCTACGTCCAACGATTCGATGTTGTGCCACAGCTTTCATTGGACAAGAGGGACGCGATGACCGGTCAGTTCATACTCCGACGAGGATTGAGAGCCGACAAAAGTAGGATCGGGGGGGTCATTGATATGAGACACATTCGCGCACCAATCGAGCTGATTCCGCGTCATGGGGCGAGAGCAGATGGTCGTTTGACGCCATACACGAGCTTGGAGTACAGCCCAGAATTGCGGCTCAATCAACATTCAAGCAAAGAACTGTTTTGGGTGCTCGAATCTATCTCTCTCCCTTCATGAGTCCTTGGTATAATTAGGCTAGGCTTACTACAAGTAGCAATTGTAGTCTCAGTACCAAGATGAAACTTTCTTTGCTTCAAGTTTTCTGATCATCCGAAAGCCTGAGCGATGATACGTCTGTGATGCGTGACTTCTTCTAAAGACTACCACCAGCTCGTTACCAGAATCCTAAGCCACGGTGGTCAAACTGTGGCCGTCACGCGTTTTTCGCCCAAGCGCGTTCGTTGGAATCCTCCGTCCACTTCGCAATGCCCAGCGATCGGATTGAAGTCGTCATTCTTCAAGTTGTCACTCGCAGAGATTTTGCTACCAACCGCACTCCCAAGAAGACAGACAAGCAAACGGGCTTACCCAACCTCAGCAAGGAGAAGAGGAAAGATGGGGAGAAGAGAGGTGATGAATTGGTGCGTTTTGTGGTTGTTGCAGACGCGCGAAAAACTCACTCCCACTTACTAGTGTGTAGAAGACCAGCAGTTCAGCTTAGAGGGACTAGCAGGGCGGCTGAATGTGCGTGTAGCATTTGTATGCAATCTACCCTGGCTAATGACGTTAGGAATCCAATGCTGACGTCTATAAACCAGCGCTGGAAACCCTTCGAATTCTCATTCGGACATCTACATCCTTGATGGCGTCCGTTCCGAAACCACCCAAGTTTCTGCACCTGTTGTACCCCGACCTCCGAACGCTCTACGAAACATGGGAGCCATCCGGAAACAAGGTATATTTCACACTTTTTTTCACGTTCTGAATCTAAACTATTACGCAGTCTTTATTTGCAGCCATCTTATTGGTCTTCGCTATGACTTATTCGGACACCCCACTGCAAGGCACTCCTCGCTATCGTTTACTGGCAGCAGAAGTTCGGCCAGCAGGCTCACCGCTTTCCGACCCCGGATCATGGGACGAATACGTTCGACATCTTGCTGCTGAACTCGGTGACGAATACAACATTCGTGAACAAGAAGATGACGAGGTTGAACCAGTCAAGGGTTCATCACTAGTGCTTAAAGTTCCTGACATAATTGACGACCTCCGTTCCCTTCAAGTTGCAAAAGAGTGTGTCGTATTCCTCCTCGACCATAACGCCGAACCGGACGCTATCGATCTTCTTCAAGAGTTGGAAATGGTGGAGGAATCAATTGCTCTTGTCGACAGGAATACATATACACGCGTTTGCCAGTACCTCGTTGGGTTTGTGATCTATTTTTTCGGCTTATTTATTGTGCTGACTTCTTTGTCTCCAGTCAAGACAGCAAAATTACCGGAATGATTCTTCAAGTGCTGATGGAGAAGGCAGAGCAGAACGACAAGTCCCTGCCAATTGGACTGAACAATGTTTCAAATCCTCAACGGCCCATTCTCAACTCGCTCTCAAAGTACAGCCACGACACCATTTTCGCCATTGCACTTAACGCCATTCTCGCTACGGGCCTTGTCGGCACAGGGATCAACAACGCGCGTTTGGCGCAAATGCTTCGACAACTGGCTGGCTACTACTACAAAGAGCCGGAGTGTCTTTTCACGGTCCGTATCGCTCAGGGCTTGGTGCATGTGGGCCAGGGGACGATTGGTCTTGACCTGTTCTACTCCGACCGGAGTATAATGAGCCGTCCTGCCGTTACTAGCTTGTTGGCGGTGCGATGCATCCGAGGCTCCTGATTACCGTCGACGAGGAGCTCAACCCCAAGCCGGTAACGGTTTGGGTTGGACAGGTTCGTGGCTCTTTTTTGGTGTCTGAAAAGGCTCTGGATATTGTTGGCCAAGCAGGCAAACCTCGAACGATATCTGGTTTTCAAACACACCAGACACCAGTGCGCTTGGCTACCAAAGATCGTGCGGAGTTGGCAACAAGGGAGTACATCCCATTTGCGCCGGTGCTCGAAGGTATGCTGATCCTGCAAAGAAATCCGGGAAAAAGAGGACAAGATGGAGTTGTAGTCATACTTAGAATTAACATTTAATTTGCTCATGTCAGTTTCTCATCCGTTTGTTTGGATAATGAGTAACGCCAGTTTACAGGCTTTGGATGTGGTGGACCAAGCACGCAAACCTTGGACGATATCAGGTTTTCGAGCACACCGACACCTACCTATGGTTGGAGAGATCATGCAAATTTGGCAACGGGACGGTGCCTGATGACAAGATGGAGTTGTAGTACCAATATTAGTGTTTTAACGAGTTCCAACGACGGTCTTGAAGTTACAGCACTTTGCAGAAGTGTAGGTGGTTTGTGGAGCGCGCTCAGCGCTCCAACCTGTTTACATCTGTTGTCGTGTTTTTCCCATAAATGGGTCTCTGGCTCCACTGGGTCGTTCCCAGGCCAGCTTACAGCTGTTGGCAAAATCCTAGGCCACTCCAAAATTTCTACTCGTCTGACGTCACACACGCTCTGAGCTCGGAGGGTCGCTTAACTGGAGCAACAGTGGAGCATTGGCACTGCAAACTGCTTTATTTGGGTTGAATTCTGTCCGATGCTCCAAGAGAGGAAATTTTAATGTGGCCTAGGATTTTGCCAACAGCTGTAAAACTTGACAGGAGCCACAACAACAATAAACAGGTTGGAGCATCGAGTAGGCTCCACAAACCACCTACATTTTTGCAAAGAGCTATATAACTTATAGTAGTATTTATCTCCCGGCGATCAACCGTCAGCGAAATGTTAATTGTGATGCAAACCAGCTTCGCTCAGGCTTCCACGACCCTGCACGACCCTGTCGTTGCTTATGGCTAGCAATGGCGGCACTGGCCTTGCGAAAAAGCCTCGTAGCAAAAACGTTTCAAAAGCGAAGCCTCCGAATCTAATCTGACAGCGTCACACGGACAGCAACTCCGAACTTGAATCCGCGAGGTCGTTCCAGAAGTGCCACTCCAACGGCAAATGTACCACCACAAGCACTGGCGGTCGGCAGTACTAGTGGTGCCGAGCGTGGGTTCTCAAGTGTCGGTGAGCCTTGTATCTTGTTTTTGTTCTTTATGCTAGTTACTCATCTATCTTTACTCTGCACAGTGCCACAAAAACGTCGTTCGACGGACGACAACGCGAACGCGAATGCAAATGCGAATACTCAAGCTCGCCCCCCACTATCCGAGCCGATTCGAGTAGCAAAACGACAGCGATTCTCGACTCTCGACCGATTAGAGCGCGACTCTCATACTCTGAGCAACCCAACACATCGACGTCCCACCACTCGCTATGCTGGACCGGCAGATGTTGGTCGTAATCCCATGGCTCCCCCAGTCACAGGCCTCGCTAGTGTAGGTTTATCAATCTCTTCAAGCTCGGAACTCATCTCTCCTAGCGGAAGCGGCGAGCGGACTTGGAGGAGAACCAAACTGAACCGCGACTTCCGCAACCACAACTTCAACCTTAACCGGTACCTCCAAGGTTGTCGCTCGCTACCTTGGTCGATCTTCCTCCTCCAGCCCAGACGCCAGCCGCATCATACAATAGCCAGCAACACCGTCAGGCGCTGGATGCTGGTACCGACGACGAGGATGTCGATGATGCTCAAGCCCATGACCATCGTGATTCTTCTGAAACTGATGAAAGCGACAACGGTTACCCTCGACTTCATGGTATTGAACCTTTTTTTTAATGCTACAGTTTGAACACCATCCAGGATATGGTTCCAATAACCTGGGCGACTACGACATTACGACACAAGGCTATGAGGAATACCCCTCGGTATGTATTAGTTTCACGACCGTGACTCGCTGCTGACGCATAGCAGCTGCGAGAAATGTCATATTCCGATTGTTTGACGCGCAAAACCATCAGTCTTCATTACAACATATTACCTTGCTTTACAAGGTCCTGTATGTGAGAAATTGCCTCACCAAACAAGTGTAAATAACAAAAACAAACAAGTGTACACAGATTGCTATCTATCTTCTATCTTCGGTCTGCGCACTGAAAGGCGCTTCGGGACTTCCTAAGCAGACGCTGTATCAGTGTATGCAAGCGACGCCCACTGTTAACTCCGGCGCATGTCACTCTGACAAATCAATTTGTCAGCGACCCGGCGAGAAATCGCAACGCGGCCTGTACCCGTCGACGTACCCTACCCGCTTGTTCAATCGCGGGCCTCGGGACTAGATTGCTGATGGCTAAAGCAAGGTCTCAGTCTTCGGCGCAAGCGCCGAAGGCCCCTAGTGGACATGCCCTCGGAAATTGCGTCAAGCTCAAATTTCGAGTCGGTTTGTGACTCTGTTATCATTCGAGTTCAAGCCCGCTTATCTGACCGTACAGCTTCAGTGGCCATCGCAATCTGCCAGCGCAACTTACCCCGTGGCTTCACCACCCGGCTTTCCACTCACATATACGAGTAACGGGCCGACACATTTGAACTCCCGTCATTCTACCCAAAGCATCAACTTCCAAAATTCGACAACGCCCTCCAATTTCACTTCGAATTCAAATACTAGTACACTTGTTGCTTCATCTCAGCTTATCCAACAACGACAACCATCTGCTATGAACCAAACCTCAAGTACAACAAGTCAGTTGCACGACAAGTCTGTTGAATTTTGCTTACATACGCTTACAGCTTTGGCGCAATGTCGTGCGCTCTCATCTCAAGGCCTGCCACAACTGTATGTCACGCAAGTCGACACCACGTGTTGAGGATGTTGGACAGGCAGATAGAAAGTACCCCGAGCTGTGGCGTTATGATGAGGGACATAAGGAAGCCACATTGGTGCGGCCGCAGTATGGTGCAAAAATAGGATAAGGTTCGCAGATTCGGAAGAACCACAGAATGCATTGGGAGGGAAGACTCTTCAAAAGAGTATTTGTTAGAGTCTCCAATCATGAGGGTTCCAAGACTGGGAGTTCGACGGAGACAATCCAACAGGTTTCTGACGTAAGTGTGAGATGACGATGTGTCGCTGTTGACCCAGGACAAGTTGAGGAGGGTTAAAGAAACAAGGTTTGGGCCAACTATTGTGGGAGTAAGGGGCAATGAGTCGAGATAAAGGTTCTCTATGTTTGCGGCCAGCCCCGGAAACGGATGCACGGTATCATTCAACAACGAATTTCGAAGAGATGCTACATGCAGGTTTCGAAGCGATGAAAAGTTGGGCCGGATATTTAAGGCAGAGAGTTGGCCAGCGAAAACGTTCCAGTCCTCGTACGAACCCAGCTGAACGGAGAGGTGCGTAATCATGTTGGCTGCTTCAACCAGTAATGGAGCAATATGAGACGCGAAGTTGACGATCTCGGACTCCGAATTCAGACGAATATCCAATCGCTTCAAAGCGGCCTTAGCAAACTGAAAGGCCTGGATGATATAACTCTGGGGGCTCTCTGTAGCCAAAACAATATTAGACCACAGCTCTGGTGTCGACTCCAATACGACCCTCCAAAACTTGCAAACCACCAGGAGCATCGATCGATTCCGAACGTCGATCCTCCAGTCGTCAAGGGACCACGAGGAAATATATGCTTTGAAGATGAGTCCAAGGAGTTCAGGGCATCCCAAAACGGCTTGAGCATTGCTTTCAAAATGACTAGGAGCGAACGAATGGGGGAAAGACACGGAAAACGCGCTTGTTGCAAGTGGGGCGTCGTCTTCCATTGGGTGGTCGATGTTTTGCGCTGTGACCAATTCAGCGTTACGGAAAAGTTCCGATGATTCAGTGGATGATTCAGTGGATTTGACCTGACGTGAACGAATCGTGTGACATTCACAACACGAAAGGTAGGTTGCACTGATCAGCGTTAAGTTGGTTGGGCCTGAAGGCGGGACTTGCATCAGCCATAGACGGCGACAGGGATGTTGGGGCAAGAGGACAAGTTTCCTCCCGGCTGGGAAGATACAGGGCCACTTCCAAAAGCGCCTGTGAAGGTTTTCCCAGCTGTTGATCCAACTAGCGGGCAGAAACCAGGGGAGACTTTCCATGAATTTATGGCTCGACGAGCGCCATCCACGGAACAGCGACTGGCAAAAGAAACAGAGAGGCAAGCACAAGAACGACTTTCACGGGAACAAATTGCAGCCACTGGGCATCCCCCTTCTCTGAACGGGAAACATCGCACTCGCGTCTGGGTCTGGGAATTTGTCAATCCCAGAGATGAAATAACCACTCGTGTGCCATACAATGTCAGAAGAGCAGCAGAAGTTTGGAATGATTATGCGCCCACTCAACGCAAATATGACGGGCTGCGCAATGAATGGGATCTTGCCAAGGAATTAGACCCCGAAGCAACAACTCCACCATCTTCTGACGTCAATGACGACGAAGATTATGATTACGGGGACATGCCACTAATCAAAACGTCAACGAGCAAGGCGCTCGAAGTCCCTAAAGATGTGCCTGGCCATAAAGTCGTTGAGAACGTCGATATCAATAGTTTAATACCATTGGTCGCCAAAACATACAATCAAGTCGACGAAAATTCAGAAAAAGGCTATTTTGCTGTTGTGGACAACGAGCAGCTGTTCCGCCATTATGGATTCCTACTTGCGAACAATGCTCCCAATGACGCGAAGCGTCTCAACGACAATGACGTTAAATGGGCAGTGGGAAATCGCAGGTCTACGGAGACAAACAACATTGGGGTTCTTTTCCAATGCATCATGGACGAGAAGACCCCGGACACCATTCCTTTCGGCCTGTCCGACTTGTCCGACCGCAGAAGTGTCTTGCAACAAGAAGGCTGGTCGGTTTCTGTGTTGCAAATTCGGCGACGACAAGACTATGTTTTTTATGTCCTCGCTCCGGTCTTTGACGAGTTGAAGGAGCCATACATCGTGATTCACGATGCTGCTTTGGTAGTAGAATGCCTTCGACTGGGTAAACAAAGCACAATCGAGATTGTCAGGCATCTTGCCCGCATCGGTGCAGAGTTTTACCCCGCTTGGCGCAGACCCGCGAGTTTCAAATGTGCTAATATCTCGACATATAAAGATGGCTTGCTCCTGCCCAAACCACTCGGTACGCGACCGGAGCAGCACCAAGGCGACCTACTCGATTATTACGCCTATGTTCAGCGCCGGGAAGAGTTTCTGGGTACACCGCATGGCGCATTGGCACTGCTACAAGGGGGATTCGTCGGTAGGCTCGCTCGCATGGTAATTGAGAATGTGGAGGACTTGGTTTCGTCGTACCCCTCAGCACCTGCGTAGCCCACAGAACACTGTGAGTTATCAGTGGTAACCCGCCGGGGTGCCATTGACAAGGCTCAGTATTTTCAGAACATCCCCTGAGGTGAATAATTGCTGGGGAGAGGGGTGAATAAAGTTGAGCTCTAAGGCAAAATTCGCACTAAGTCCAGTATGTAAGGGGTGAATAAAGGTGAATAATACAATGACCAAGTCCCCAGAAGTCCTGTTATGTGACATGTGTGACACATGGTCCCAGAAGGAAATTTTATCGATAGGCATTGGAACTGATGTTTCAGTGGCTGCGCAATGCCTTTTCACAGTTGTATAGAGTGACAAGTATATCAGATTTCCAAAAAAGGAAAATTTCACCATTTAATAGTCCAATCGTCAGAGAATTGTCACAAAATGATAGTTCTCTATCTATACAAACAACTTTCATTAAGTGATGTATAGTAGCAGCTGAATAGTTGTGCCAGCACACGCCAATCACTAGCTGATCTACAACTGATGAAATAATATCTCAATAACTAGAGTAGCTACAGAGCTAATTGAAGTATTACTAAGGATACTTGAATGGGAGGGTCAATATCCCCATCAATACCATGTCATCAGCATACCCATACTGCTGCATGATTATCTATCAGACATTTTGATCTGGCTATATCTCTAGCAGTTCTCTATGGATTCACATTATTATTTCACTAGTAGGTAGGTGGTAATATTGTCTTAATATAATCTGATATGACCATAGTCACATGCCTTTAGAATATACTGTCATACCACTTTTCTGTAGTTTTTCTACCTCAAATTTGACCAGGTATAATGATGACCTGATATCTGGGTGAGAAATGCATGGATAACCATGGGGTCAGTTTTGCTATGGTTAGATGGACATCCCTGATAGCCCTACAAGCCACTTATATTTTCAGGCACCCTATATACCTGTCTATATGGCTCATATCCTATTAGTTCAATCTCCTAATAACTCACTCAGAGGTAAGGAATCTCCAATGAGATAAAGGTAGGAAGTAGAGGAGGGGTTGCCCTGAGAGATGTTATGCCTCCCATGATGTTTTATTCTTGAAATCTCTTGTTATTCTCCATTCTACATATTACTGCTCTGTCACAAGATATTAACAATACAGCCATGATCTGCTAGTTGATTGTGGATCAAAATAAGTCAAGTTCAGTCAATAAGGTATATACACATACCTACCTACTCTGACTGATGATTGTACATACCTGAATGGTGCAATGAGGCAGACAATCAACTGCAGGTTAGATGCAAAACTAGTTTACATGAATAGTGGGGTCTATAGACTGAGTATTGGACATTGAGATGCATGTATTGGGGTATTGGGATATCTACTAGGACCCTGTACTGAAATTGGTTGGGGTTATGGCATGTGTTGCAGAAGGTAGCTAAAGAGAGGGTAGGTACCTATAGAGCAGAAGAGAGTGTCTTCGCTATTACCACTGGTCAGAAAATAATTTCAAGTATGATCCAAGACTTGATTGTAGGATGGTATACACCTTCAAATGAACCTGTCCAGTACTTGAATCAACCTCATAGCTATGATGGATCTCTCACAGTAGCATTATCAGTGTTATCTATTCCCAAAATGATGGGTTCACCATAGTATGGCCTGTGGAAGT